AAGATTGAAGAGTCTAACAAACAACCCCTCAGATCCCTTCTTCCTGTCTTTTCTCCACCACCCACGCCAGTATGTCTCCCTCCCCCTCCCCAAACCCAACCCCAACCTTCCAACTCTTCACCTCCCTCCGCTACGACCCGCTCCTCCTGCAATCCCCGCAAAATATCGAATCCTGGCCTCTCCCCACCCCCACCCCCACCCCCTTCTACATGCTCCCCTACCACCGCGACCGCCTCCTCCAAGCCGCAACCCACTTCTCCTTCCACCCCGCCATCCTCGCCATCTCCGGTACATCCGGATTCCAGAACCTCCTCTCCGTCCTCTCCTCCTCCATCAACACACAATCTCCAACTCCGCTGCGCGTGCGCATCGTCCTCGACTACAAAGGAACCCTGACCATCGAAAGCAACCCCGTCCCCCCAGTCCCGCTATCCAATCTCTTCCCCACCCGTCTCCCACCGCCCTCCTCCACTCCCCCCACTCCCTACATCTCCCCTCTCACAGGCGGCGCTCTCACCCTTGGCCCTACCACCACCCTCCCCAGCGACCCCAGCACCTCTTCCCCATGGACCATCATCCCTGACCCCACCCCCACAACCCCCACCCCCTACACCAGCTTCAAAACCACCTCGCGATCCCAATACGACACCGCGCGATCGCGCGCCCACATCCCAACCTTCACTTCCCCGCAAGAAGTCCTCCTCATTTCTTCCAAAAATGGTGAGATCATGGAAGGTTCCCTCACAACCCCATTCCTCTATCGCGATGGGAAATGGGTTACACCGTCTGAAAGTAGCGGAGGTCAGATCGGGACTACTAGAAGATGGGCATTGGAGAAAGGGTTAGTTTTCTTCTCCCTCTCTTCTTTCTCTTTCCTCCAGCACTCTCTCCATATATCCTCCCCCACAAAAAATCAGCCTCATCTTTGAACCTAATCACAACCCCATCAAAAACTAACCCCCAAAAACAGAATCTGCGCAGAAAGCACCATCACTCTGGACTCCCTAACCGAAGGAGAAGAATGTTGGATCAGCAACGGAGTGCGAGGTTTTACATGGGGGAAGATCCAGCTTTCACCTTAGACCACCATACACACATAGACCACCGTATAAAACATAGACCATAAATACCTTACTCTGTACACCTGAAAAATGACATATTCGAATATGTATGTTTAATATACGGATAAAGGAACGAACATCAGGCAGTCTTAATAGGAAAATTCAAGCTCTACGAAAAGACGACACAATCAATGCCCTAGACGTGCTAGGATCTCTAAAGTGTAAACTAAAATGTGAGGAAAGTAACACTGGAAATGTATCAAACATCGAACTTAATCTATTCATTCTCTTGAACGCTAATAAATACTACGATCATCATTTTATCATCTCACAGCATAACCAGATACAGGAGATATAAAACAGCCCAAAAAAATCGCTAAGAGAGTGACACGATGCAACAAAAAGAATGATAATACCCGCTATAGCTATGGGACCTTCCCCGTAATTTATTAGACCAGACCCTTTCATTTTTCCAGTAGTCAGGTTAAGTCTTTAGAGACAGAGAAAGAGATAAAATTTACTGCGCCAAGAAATTGTTTCATGCTTGCTTTCGGGAATCTTGCATCGTACGCTTAAAATTCAACCCAATCAATCTTTTCTTCTTTATTCAACTTTGAAGTTGAACCCCTCACTCCCCCAAAATCACCCTTCATAAGAACCAAATCTTCTATGATCGCATAGCATCCAAACCACCTTGTAAATCTTGTTCAAGATCATTTGGTCCTTGTCCATAAGCTTCTTGTGGTCTTGGATCCTCAGCACGCCAGCTTGCTTGCTCTTGTGGTATTGGTACTTGAGGACCGTTGCTTTGACCTTGTTGACCAGGTTGAACACGGACATGTTGTCTAAACCTGTGAACTTCTTCCAAGATCAACTTTCTGATCTCGCCTACATCTTCCACAACCTCAAAATCGAAGTTAAATGTTGTTGGGCATCCAGGCTCATCAGAGGCATCGTGCCAAATGTGAAGGTATGGGTGTTCGAGGGCAGTTTCAACATCGATACGGGAGGATGGGTCAAATGCTAACATATGATCAAGGAGGTCAAGAGCATCGGGGTTGGCGTTAGGGAATAAAGTTGGGAAAGGTCGCTTGGCCATAAATGGGAGGTTTCGAACGTATTCCTGTGCTCGTGGCGATCCAATTCTTGATAGAGTTTCTTCATTTGGTGTACCAAGGATATGTAAAATTTGGTTGAGTTGATCAACATAATCTCTACCTTTGAAGAAAGGACGACCGCCTAGCAATTCTGCGAGAATACATCCTACTGACCATACATCGACTAATTTCTGTTAGCGCCTAATCTTCTTTCCCAACCAATGGCTGCACAACTTACTAGCTTTTGTATAGCTTTGGAAGCTCAACATAATTTCAGGGGCACGATACCATCTTGTAGCGACGTATTCGGTCATGTATCCAGCATTCTCTTCAGGGTCGACAGAGAAACCTCTAGCAAGACCGAAATCACAAATCTTCAACTCGCAGTCGGCATTGACCAGCAAATTACCGGGCTTCAAATCACGATGAAGAACATTCGCAGAATGAATATATTTTAGACCACAAAGGATTTGGTAGATGAAAGATTGGAAATGTGCATCAGTGAGGGGTTGACCGGATCGTACGATAGCAGCGAGATCACACTCCATGAGCTCTGCGAAAAAGATGTTAGCATGGAATAACGAGTTACGGAATAGAAAACCGCATCTTACCTTCGTAGAGATATGTTTCATTGAAATTATCTGGTCGAGGAATATCCATATCATAAAGGCAAGTAATCTAAGCCATGTTAGAACTACCCCACCAGTATCATCGTGAGTATAGGAGTCGCATACGTTACGATGACCTCTGAAATGTTGTAACAACTTTATCTCACGCAGCGCACGCTTTGCCAAAATCTTCTTGCTGAAGACATTTGTAACTTTCTTGATTGCGACACCTTCTTGTGTTTGAGAATTCGTAGCAGCACTGGCATGAAGAACAATGTCAGTTGAAGGTTCATGATACGGACATGCGCATATGCAGGTAGGGTCGGAAAGAAAGTAACATCGTACCAAACAATACCATAAGCTCCTTGACCAAGCTCCTTGGTGACTGTGTATCTCTCATCGACGATAAAGTCTTGATTGAAGACCTTGAAGACCTTTCTTCCTTGAAGGTCTGCCATGGTTTCTAAATTCAGATATGTAGACGCGTAACTTTTTGATGGTATTGATGAGATATGACCAAATTGGTTGAGGCGGAAGAAATAAGACGCTTTTCTTCTTGAAAACGAATGTGTAACAATCAATTATAAGTCAGAGAATGAATATAAGTAGGAGGATTGGTAAAGTGTTTGTTTGCTTCTTTCGTATGATCTCCCTAACCGCCGACAAGGAAGTGAGGTTGGCTTTTGGATTTCTCAAGTTTATGATGGGTCTTGCGGGAAGAGGCACAGCACGGAAAATTTGGGGTCCAAGGTGGGGAGGTGAGAGGATGGATAGCAGTGGATGGCAGTGGATGGCAGTGGACGGGGGAGTTTTATTAGCTATCCAACAAGGAAGGAAGAAATGGATGGATAGATGGATGGATGGATGGATGAATGAATGAATGATTGATTGATTGATCGATTGATTGATCGAATGAATACCGATAATGTCCAAGATGATAACAATGAGAGGACCAATTGAATTAATTTATCTTTTCCAACTTTGCTCTTGTTGTAATCTTACATGGACATGGACTATTTCCAGTTCATGTGTACACCACAATGAATGGAAAGGGATCCAAAGGTAGTAGCAATACTAGGTAAGTAATGAGTTTCGTTGCCCTTTGTATAATATCAAGCTAAAAGGCAAGAAGGGAAAGGTAAGAAAGGACAAGAGTTGTCTTTCTTTCTTCACCTACCTGCCACTCCGTATAATCCCTCCAAAGGGCTCAATAAAGGGTCAATGATGGATTTTTCCCTCCCAACAACAGACAAAGAGGGGGAACGCCAAACTAGCTGACCATCAATTAGCTACCAAAACGGGAGGTGGGGGGAAGCTTAGGTAATGCTTAAACCTTTGACTCGTTTATCCAACCAATGATATTACTTGATTTAATCAGTTACAGAGAATGGATAAGGCTGAATGTTTCATATCTTTCCTTTCTTATTATTATTTTATTATTTTACTATTTTACTATTTCCCTACCTATGAGCTTATCCCTATCCCTTTTGCTTGCTCATCTACTCTATCCACCCGAATCTATCTCACTCGCCTCCACTCCAACACAACCATCTTTCATCCTCAACCAACATTCAACATGAATCAAGCCAGAACACAGGAGATTTCACGACACGGGAATCTATTGAATATTATATACAATATACAACACACTTCTTTCTCTTGTCCTCTATCATCCAAGACTTTATTGAATATGAATATGAATAAAGATAATAAGCCACAATACGTATATCTTCCCTCTCTTTGACCCGGTCATTTGGTTGGTCCTTTCTCTCCTACAGCGCTTCAAGGAAACTAGTATTTGAGCGCATACCAGCCGAGCGGGAAAAGTTTCTTTTTGGATGTTCGATACCAGATTTGACGCCTGATTGAACCAGTTTCATGACCAATTTCGTTTCATCTACCCTGAGATCATCTGCTGCTCATACCATTGGCTTTTTTGCTTTTTTCTCTTTGCATATACGACCAGTACCGAAAAATAAATATACCCCACTCCACTGGACTATGTCTCACATGCGCCGATCGTATCGAGAATGCATTTCACTAGGTAGGTAAAGTAAACACTTTAAATATTCCTTCATTCTAACTTCTAAATTCATTCTAAAATTACAAATTGCGTTGGAGGTCCTCCGCCTATGCTTTATGCACAAACTACACGCGTTTCTATCAGACTATCACGAAAACATGTGATAAAATCTCGCAATGATCATCATTCCCCCATGTGTTTTTCTTTACCCTTAACATACCTTCACCATAGATTCAGTCATCATCCAATCATTGACCAATCTACCCTCTCTCTCTGCCATATCCAATTTGTCGAGCTTATTTCGCATCGCTTCCTTGAACTCCATGATTTTCTCGAATTTCTTTGTTGCTTTGTATTCATTGACTGCCTTGAGAATCCTCTCCTCTTCATCTGTATACCCAAGTGGCATAGTAGAGGAAGTCATTGTAGAAGAGTTAGACCAAGTGGTCAGGCTAGCGGAAGAAGAATGAGTAGAGGGGCTGAGATTGTACTGGCCGTTTCGAAAGTAGAATTCCAACTTCGTAAATCGTCGTCAAAAGGCCTAAGAAAGTCATCCAACGGATATCCTTGCCCAATTACAGACTTGGGGGTGAGGAGGGTAAGGTCAGGGACGCTACCGTATCTCCCTGAAAATATTGATCAGTACACACTCACATTATTTTTACCCTATCGGGGTTATACTTACAATCATTCTTGAGATACCAGTCCGCTTGTAAGGTGCTCTGATCTTCCTGCGCTCTTATGAACTCTTCTCTCTCCTTCAAGATCTTATTCTGCTTTATGAGTTGCTTTTTTTGCCCAACTTGTAATTTCAATCTGTTGACACCTTCTTGGTCTACAAGTTCGAACACTGGTCCCCGACCTTGTAGTTGGTCTCGAAGACAACCACAAATCTCTTTAATTCTTTCATTCTCCCAATCTTGTAGTCATAACATTAGCATATGTAGTTTGGATCCCAAAATCATTCTGCAAATACTCACTAACAGCAGCTACCCATCTCCCACCACCCTTCATTATTTCTTTCCTCTCCATTTCTTTACACCACCAAGCGAACCAATGATATTGTTGTTCCTCTGTCAGATTCTCCAATCTGCAGTTCTTACGGCACAAATCCTGGTAAGTATCGGGCGACATGCTAAGGATAATCTCGGTAATAATGATGTATGGTACCGGAGGGGTGATGCGGTGACGGAGGAGAAGAACGAGGAGGGTGATATCGCGTCTGAGAGTGGCTAGTGTTAATCGATGCCCACAAACTCGAGCTTGACTATACAGGTATCCATCATCCTCTAACGCTATGGAAACCAAAAGAATTCGGGGGATACCAGAAACCAAAAGAAACGGATATGCTCTCACTTATCGGCTTTGACAGACGTCTTGTTACTCATAACCTTACCCTCAGGCTTTGTACACACAACCCATGACTTGGGCGCCATCCTTGCGTTGATATTTTTACCCGTACTCGTTACTGTTTCTCTAGCTCTGTACCGTATGTAGGATGCAAAGAGCACGTAAACTCCACCTCGAGCAAATATATCGGCACGACTTTTGCGAGTGACGAGTCGTCGAGTAAGTCAGATATCAACACGGAAAAGCCAGCTGTGAGTCGTCTAGTCTAGCCAGGTATGCCACTCAGTACATGGACGGATAAATAAATAAATAGATGTGTATATTCCCACGACGTAACAATCAGTTCTTCGAAAAATAGCAGTGACTCGGTTCTGACATGTGTGTATGTATGTGTGTATGTATGTATAATATAATGATCAAAGTTCCAGTCACATGCCTTTCGTAATAGTCGTCCGAGTCGTTATTCAGATCGTTGTGCACATCATTATTCACGGTCGATAGTAAATGCGAAGAAGTGGAGCAACTATCTCGATATCGAATATCAAATATTGAGTATCCAAATCCTTGAGAATCGAAAATTGGAGTGTAAAAATACCTCGTGAACAGTAGTGATGCGACCCGTGCTCGTACTTGATGATTCAGAAATGGTAAATACGACGGTTAGGTTAGGTCAGGTTAGGTTAGGTAAGGTAGTTTTGAGAGAGAAATGTTTTGGAGGTTTGTGTGTGTGTGTATGTGTGTGTGTGTGAATCGAAGTGGGAATCGAAAGGCGAAATGGGAGTGGGAGTGGGAGTGGTGATAGGAATGAATGAATGAATGAATGATTTGGAGAGGAGGGGGGATGGATTCATAGGTTTGAATATGGTTTTGGTTTGTGTGTGGATGGGGGGGTAGATAGATGTATGTATGTATGGATAGATAAATAATAAGATGGATAAATAAACATATGTATATATAAATGTATCTATCAATGAATACATATATGAATATATAAACGTATCTATCTATTAATCTATCTCATCTTGTGTGAATCATATCTTCAAGTCAACAGATGATTCATGACTTGTGATTCATATTCTTTCATTTTGCTTTACAGTATGGTATGGTATGATATGGAATGCTACGGTATGTTATATATATCATTTCGGTCAGAGATGAAGTAAAGACACGGACAAGAAAAGAAAAGGATGTTAGGATTGGTAGAGTAGATGAGACAGGATGGGAGCAGAGGGGATAGGATAGGGGATTATGACTATAGCTATGGCCATGCTGAGTATGAAGGATGTGAGTACGACTATGATTATGATTATCAGGAAAGATACGATTATGAATATAATGTTGAATACAATTGTGACTGTGACTATAACTTTGTCTTTGATTACCCATGACTATGATCTCAACTATAGTGTTTATAACTATAACCACGAGGAACGATATACAATACACAATAAGAACCTACCTACTACCTACCTACCAAAAAGAACCATATCCGAGATACCTTGATAGATTTCTATTTTTAGATTTTAGATTTTAGATTCGACTTTTTACTGGTTCATTATGAAGGAGACGGGAGCCGGGAGCCGGGAGAGAGGAAGTGAATATGAAGTATGGGGTATGGAGTACGGGGTATGGGGTATGCGTAACTCACGAGCATATGGGCGTAGGTATTTATAGAACTGATAGAAACCTAGATAGATAGAGGATGGGTAGATAGGATAAAGACTAGATGAGAGTATGACTAAAACCCTAGATAACTCCTTAATCTACCCCTAAAGTAGGTATCTTCGCAAATTCGTTCTCATGTACGTAAACTTTGTGATCTATTTGATCTTCTTCCCTTAACCCAAATCTCACTGTATGATTCAGATTCAAAACGATATCAAAGTCAAAGTAAACATGGAGAACAAAAGACAGAAATTAGAAACCAGAAAGCTAGATTTGGGTATTGAATTGTGTAGCTCGCATCATGTGTATCATTTGCATCTCATCATATTTTCATCGAACTTCTTCCACTAACCTCCCTCAAGGACATTCAGCACTCACTCTCCGACCACTCCTCACCTATGATTTACGCCCCACCAGCAGCCTTAGCAGCCTTCTTTTTCTCCTCAATTGCCTTCATCTTCGCTAATTTCTTCTCCTGATTCTTTGTCAATTTTCCTGTACCATCTCCACTTCCCTCAACACCTTCTCCGCTTGCAGCTTCCTCTCCAGCAGCAGGAGCGACCTTCTTAGCGTTGGGATTTCCACCCCAAACCAACTCTTTTCGGGCAAAAAAGTCCGCCACAAGCTCATCTGTAATCTTGGCTCTCCTCTCCTGGAATGCCTTGACATATTTTTGTAATTCCTGAATACATCTTGCTTTTAATTCTCCTGTCAGCATTTCTCCAGATCTATATGCTTTCTTGATACTTTCTAATTCCTCGTCGTCTTCTAAGAAAAATGTCAAATATTGATATGAAACGTCTTTTTCTGTATCGCCTCCTTTTTCTCTTTGTTCTTGCTCGCTAATTTGTCCACCACTGAATGCATATCTATTGATTTTATTCTTGATCTTGTTGGGTTCATCGTACATAAAGATTGCAGAGGTATCGACCGAAGCGCTCATCTTGGAACCGGGACCTTGAAGAGCGTCGAGGAAACGAGCGTGAATAAGCGCGGGTTTGGCGTAATGGAGACGAGCGGCTACATCGCGGGTCATGCGGAAATAAGGATCTTGATCAATGGCGCAAGGAATGAGCGAGGGAATTTGGGTAGTCTTGGATTCATCAGTGCCGAAGATATGTGGGAAGGAGTTAGCGAAGGAGGTTGCGCCTTGGACAGCTCCGAAATGGATTTTGCCTATGCAGGAACTGGAATTGTTAGTAAAGTCCAGGTAGTTTGGGGTCGTAATCTCTCACCTATCATTGAAGCCAAAGACAGCTCGCGCAACGTTCAATGTAACGTGCTTAGAGATTCGGGTAACGTTCTTGTAAAATGCTCCCCCCATGTAATCATAATCGCTAAAGATGAATGTCTTCTTGGGGTCGAATCCAACAGCAATGATATCTTTCGCATTACTATGGGTATAACTTTGAACTTCCTCAATTGTACGTTTCTCGGAGAAGATATATTTCTCATCATCTGTAAGCATGATGATCAATGGAACATCAAATACATCTTGTAACCACCTGGAATGAGTCATCAGTATGATTCGAAGAATTACATATTCTGTAACATGCTTCTAATAATCGCAGAATGTGCGAGTCGAATCTTTTTGAGAATTCAAACTTACTTGGTAAATTCAAAAGGAACAGTATGCCCAATATGCATACTATCACTACTTGGTCCTCGTCCCGTATACATGAAGAATGGTTCCCCCTTCTCATGGCGATCCAACATAAGATGCAAATCACGATGACTGAAGACAATCCCTCTTCTCATAAATCTATGAGGTTTATGGCCAGTTACCTCTTCGAATCTCTTCAAATCTGCCTCCTCAATTTTCTTGGTTCCGAACTCATCGATCAAAGTCAAATAATTGATAGCTTTTGCGATTCCATCTGCGCCAATTTCTCCAGCAACATTGTATGGATCGACAGTTTGCTTACTGGTAGGAGCATCAGTTGCCAGACTGGCAGCGAGTGTGGGTTCCGCGTCTGTCATGATGGTGAATGAGGATTGAGGAATAGTGTTTTGGAATTGAAGGAGGGGTTATTTGTTCTTTATTATTGATGGAGGGGAAATTATTGCCATACAATCATCCAATTTGTAAGCGGTGAGGGATTTGATCGAAATATCACGTGCAAAAGATCTCCAATTAGGATTGCTTTGTTCCAGCTGACTGTCGTTGAGCTTTGAACCATCGAAGCTCTGCGGGGTTTGCTAGTGTCTTTTTGGATATCGTGTGTATGGTAGTAAACCTTTAGATGTTCAATTCCAATTCGCATCTCATTACTATTTACCTCTTTAAGTGTTGTGATCCATCAAAATTCATTCCACAACAATTCACAACAAACAATTCGCCCATCTCTATCTCCATCCCCATCACACTAAACCCAAAAAAAATCGAAAATCCGGGGAAAGGAATCAGACGAGCAAATCCCTTCCAGAAGCGTTCCAATCCAAATCATCAAGATCAACAATCATACCATTAGCATTCTATTCCTCATTCGACTTTCATTTCTCACTTCATCCTTTTCCCTACCTTCACTTTCACTCCCCGATACCTCTTGTACCATCACTGCAACTATATGTATACCACGAACAATTAAACAACTAATCAATTCTCAATCATAATCATGGTCAAATTCTTCGAATCCTCTTTCTCTTACGATTACTCCTTCCCCGCTGTTACATTCGCCTACTTCCTCCGTTACCCAAATCCACATAGCACACATGTGCTCTCCACCGATGTGATCTCGCGCACCGTGTGTCCCGAAACAGGTCGTCTGCGTACCTTGCGCATCCATCGCAAATCCACTCGTCTGCCATCCGCAGTCCTCAAGCTCTTGCCCAAAAGCGTCCTGGGCAATGTGAGGAGCGATAGAAGCGAATCATACATTCTAGAAACTTCGGAGGTGGATATCAAAGAAGGATGGATGAAGACGGAGAGTAGAAACCTGGATTGGACGGGTATTTTGAGTGTAGTGGAAAGACAAGATTTTCACAGAGCAGCAGATAAGGAAGTGCGCGAGGAAGAATTTATTCAAGGCTCGGGAATGACGGGTGTGAAGACGCAAATTATGTTTCGCAGTCGACTTGGTGATCGATTGAGGGCGATGAGGAAGGGAGAAGAAGGCGAAGAAGAGAAGAAGGGATGGTTGGCGAATTGGAGTACGAAGGGAGTGCAAAGAAGTATCGAGGCCATTGCTAGTAGGAAGACAGAAAATCAATTGGGAAAGAGCAAGGAGGGAATGATGGTTGTGTTGGAGAGAATGCGAAATGGTGGGTTAGTGGGGGTATTGGATGGGATGAGGCGGGATCGGGAATTGATGTTTGCGGGCATGGAGCGAAAATTTTGAATGATAAAATATGAGATATGAGGTTACATATAAAGATAGCATAAGGACGGAGGACGAACATATGTCGGACACGGCGAGAGGAC